TCTCTCCTTTCCCCTCCCGCCGGCGGTCGCCAGCTAAACCCCTGCGTACAAACACCGGTGCCCCCCCCTTCCCTTTCGCCGCCCTGCTGACTTGCGTTCAGCAGCCCCCCACCCGCGACCTGCCTTCTCCCGCCTGCAGACAAGCGGCGACGCACACGCAGACCGCCTGTGCCTTGAAACACGAGCTTGTGATTTTTTTCCTTCATCAACTCAACGCAAATATTCCTTTGAAGCCCCAGGTTAAGGACACACACAAAAAGAGTCTTGAAGCGAGCCTGTACGGATAGCTGGCCTCGCTCGTTAGCATCCGGGCAGCTACGCCAAGTTGTGCCCTCTCTGGGGCACCCAAAATGGGCTGGATAGCGCCTACAACCGTGCACTTCCCCGGTAGGGTTCCCTAGGGCCGAGTCTCCTCGTCCGCCCTGGCATGACAGAAGTTTTGCCGGCGCGGAGACCTGCGGGACTGAGCCCATCGCAGCCGTGTTCCCTCCTGCCCGCGGTCCGCTTCATCAGCTCTCCCTGCCGCACCTCTCGGCACCGCAATTCAGCAGCGGAAAGCAGCTCGCTGCAAGAACGAGAGCGCCTCAGCAGATTTCCATCTCATTGGGATTGATTTTCGAGCTGCAAACAGGAGACTCGGTCAATAAACATCACTTTTCCAGAGAGCGACGGAGGAGCGCAGAGGTCCCCTTTTGAAAAGGGGCAAATAAGTATTACGGGGTCAAATCCTGGCCAGAGATGCGACGCCGACCTATATTTTACCCGTTAGACACGCTTCTTCCACTAATCTACACCGCGCTATTTTGGGTTTCAGCTATATAATCTGATTTGCAGGGTCAACGAAGCTGCCGTGGCCTCTTCTCCCCGCAGTCTGCAGAACATTAACTCTTTAGCAAAAGCTTTTCCAAACAGGCACCCCAGCTCCCTTAGGCCGTCCCGCCGCAGCCAGACACGCTGCTCGCCGGTGCCCACGGGGTCTTGGTAAAACATGCAGTAACTGTCTATGAGTTGCCAAAACAGCTGAAAGAAAAGCGTTACTGAGGGCAGCTCGCTTCGATAACAACTTTGAGGAGGATATAGGGAGCGTTGTTACTGGGCAAGCCAGAGGCAGGGCCGCCACCGCTCTCCTCCGGCTGCTTCAGCCCTTGGCCCCAGACAGAGCGCTGGCTAATGGTCTGCAAAGAACAGCCAATACCTGGGGAACAATAACCAGGTTCAAACCAGCTGGGAGTAAAGCCCCAGGAGACCTTTTGAGCTTAAGTTCAGGAGGATCGTTGTTGAGGGGAGGTGTAATGGTTCAGTTGGCACCAAAGGGAAAAAAAAAAAAAAATCAGTCCTTTGGTGTCCTCGTTTTTTAAAGGAAAGGTATTATTCACCTCTCAGCTACTTTACAAGCCCCAGGCCTTGCTGCGGCGACCGGCGTGGCGTGAACAGTCCGGAGCGGTGGCGGCGGAGCTCCGGGAGTCGGGGAGCGGACGGCCCGGTCCCCTCGGCCGCCTCGTCCCCGGGCAGCAGGGCCTCGCAGCGACGGTCGCGTTCCAACCACAGTTGCATTCATTGATCAGCGAGTTTTCCGTCAGCATCACAACCCACCGACAGCAATGAATGTTGATTGTGACTTTTTGGGCTCGCGCGGGGATCGGGCTGCGGCAGGGGGAACAGCGGTACGCGGCGGCTCGGGTTGCCGTGACAGAGACCCCGGCAAGCACAGAGAAACGTCCGTTAATTTGCACTCGTTATTCGCCGGTAGGAGTAGCGACGTTATCCATCTACCTTTTATGGGTGGCAAAAGTGGGCACAGAAAAGGGGAAGCGACCTACCGCAGTCGGGCTGCTCGCCTCCCTCGCCTAGAGGCCAACCCCCTGCTCTCCCCCAGGCCATCGAGCTATTTGCTAAATCAAATAACCCATCGCCGATACAGAACGGAGCATCCCCGTGCGGATGTTACTCTGAAGAAAAGCACCCGCTTTCCTGAATAACCGCCCTGCTTCGGACAGACACAGCTTATTCCAAACGGAGGGGTTTTCTCACCCGGAGCGGCTGCGCTGAGGACTATGCTGGAGAAGCTATAGCAGAAATTCCTAGTCCGTAATAGAAATTCCAGCTATTTCCTCGTGCAGAGGAGCCACAGAATTAAACGTCTAAACAGCATTAAATTCTAGCTAAGGCAATCGAGTTAACGGGTTTACTCAAGGAAGAGCAATCACGTTTTAGAAGCCCGGCAAACGCTTGGAGAAGTCTTTGGAGAGAGGTTTTAAGCCCAGACCCTGAATTCAGCCGCTCTTCAGGGCCACAGGGTACACTCAACGGTCGATGGTTCAACATCAGTGACCAAACTCACCAACAGCGTTGAATGTTCACCGAAACCTTTGCCGCCCTGTGGGTCCGCGGAGGCTTCCAGAGGCGTCGGCATCCCTCCGCGCGCGGTTTTGCCTTCTTCCTCTGGTTTTCCCTCACTTG